GAAAGGAAACTAAAGCGTGTGGTTTCAATTAATTTTCACAAGTGTATATTTCCCGTCGATCGGGGCGACGGGTTATTATATACTGGAACTGTCAACGGCAAGGATACTATCTCTTTTGTTTTCATTTTTCCGATGATTTAAACAAGCAATTTTAATTTCCACTTATGCACTCCAAAGGCAAAAGGTTTACATCCGCTTCGTTTAAACTAGGGATGTGTTTCTAACGTCCATGGTTTCTGCATTTTCTCGTTCACAATATTTCAGCCTGATTCCGACCAAACAATTAAATCTGAGTCTGCTTAATCTCACCCGCTCTTTACAAAAATAAACCCGCCATACTAATTACACAATCAACCTCACCCACTTCGTATATTTACAGTAGGAATTAAGTTCCACTTGGACAGCTTCTTCCCAAGGACTGCTTCTTTGTGGAACCCGGTAGGATTTTTTTTTAAAAATCACTACAATCTTGACATCTTCAAAGCAAGGGTTAAACATTATAATTCCTTCACATCTCCATGGATTTTACTTCTTGCCTTTACGCAAGCTATACAGAAACCTTGAGTGGCTCTTGGGTTTTGTATTGGTTGAAAATTAACTTTTCTAAAATTATACGATTCTTTTGAATGTCAGGCATTTCTACAAAGGTTTGTCCTGGAATTTTTCAATTTTGTAAACAACCCAAAATTAAAGTGTGCTAAATCTGCTGAATAAGGTCTATAGTTTATTTTTTCTAATGGATTTATTAAGACAGTTATCTTAGCTAAACATACGCGGTAGCATTTTGTGACGATAAATATTCGCACTTATCGGAGTCGAAGCGTCCAAGATGTTTTGCTTGTCGGGCTGCTGTTTTATGATGGATATGTGCATAAACCCAAGCTAGACAGTTTGTCATTTCATCAACTGCATCCTTTCCTCTTGCAAGTTTGGTCCAAGAAAAGTACATTTTCCGACATTTGTTTATTTTATGCTGCTTGGCATGATTTGTCTAGTGGCGGTCTGCATGCTGATTGGTCGAACGGGGGACTCCAATTGAGAACGAGGCCAACGGCGATGATTGATGCCTTGGCCGTGTTTTTGGTCAATAAAAACGGTCTGGGACATTGGTTGGAACTGGAACCGCGGTGACGTGCACTACTATAGAGGTTCGTATTAAGTTACGACTCTGTTTATTTTTGCCTGGAAGCTGGACGCTAGCTTCAAACCTACCGCTAGAGTGAGCGGTGTAATTACCGGTGTCTACCAAAACGTGGAAAGAACACACTGAACTTCAACACGTTTTATATAGAATACACTTCTCAGGTCGTATCTTTGTTTGGTTTGCTTTGGTTTGTTTTACGGCATATCAACGTCAAAGGATTGTATAATGGCAACAAATCTATTTCTGGGAATATTTTTCCTTGAAGAAATCTATGGCTGGTAATATTTTTTCAAAGATTGCTGGTACTTTTTTCAAAGTATTGCTGATAATAATGTTTCCTTCAAAAATTCTTGCGGGTAATATTTTCTTTTATTACAAAGTATTTCTGGTATTAAAACCAAGTTTTACACAAGTTTGGGGGTCAACTACTTGCCCATAGCTAGTACCCTAATAGCTGCTACCACCCAGGGTCATGGTGGACCTGGAAACGCCAGCAATTAAGAGGTGGTTCCACGCTACTCAAAACCTCCTGATCTTGCTGCTGGACGTAGTTTATCGTCTTACCCAGGACGCGGATGTAGTTTAACGTCTTAGCCAGGACCCGTATCTTGGGATTTTTCCTCGGAACAGATACTCGTAACTATTTTGGAAATTGCAAATAAACACATTAACTTACAGGATGTCCTTGTGTTAAATAATTTATAGTAAACTATTCTCATATGACGTAAATGCGAACAGGCATTGGTTTATCATTGCCCTTTCATGAAATGTCTGTAGTATTCAAAAATTCGATTTATTCCAAGCGCGTTCGCTATGAGTCATGTTTAATTGTGTTTATCTTTCCCTAGCACATGTACTAATCTTTACATAATCTTCTTCATTTATGTGCCGTGTCCCTTCAAGACATGGACGATCATGGTCCTCCACATCCTCCTGTCCCTTGTAGCTCTTAATAAGTTTTTTCTTTTTTGTTATTTCTCCCAGGTCCTGTTCTGCCATCCAATTTCTCAAGCCCATCAAGTGCGTCACGCGTTGCTTTCACCTGACTCTCTTTCTCTATATCCGTCCTGTGAGTATCCGATTTTCCAAGCCCTCCTTCTTCATTACGTATCCCAGAAATTTCAACTGCCTCTTCTTGATGTTAAATATAAGATTACTCTTCGTTTCCATTCTTTCCAAAAATCTCGTTGCTCACCTGTTCGGTCTATGGTATCCTCAGAATTGCTTCTTTGAATCCGTCCGATGAAAAGTCTTATCCTTGACATAAATCCCTTTCTATTTTTGTATATCTGCTGAATTCATTTTATATCCGTATGCTGGTTTGCTGCCAATATAGATTTTTCATTATTCTAATGTCTTTCCCGAATATGTCAAGGTTGCTGAGCAACTCTAGCAGATCTTCGTGACGTACTTTGGCGAAGGCTTTTGCGAATCCTATAAAACAGAGGTACACGTCCGTCTACTTTTGTATTGCTCTTTCTGATAACATTCTGAGCATAAATATCGCATTCCTTGTTCCGGTGTCTTTACCGAACCCGCACTGTTCTTGTCCTATGTCGGCGCACTATTCGTCAGAATTCTGAAGAGGAGTTTTGTTATGTGGCTCATTTGGTTGATTGTTCGGAGTTCACATTCTCTTGCGTCTGATTCCTTAGGCAGTTTCCATGCAAATCGATCTGCTTAGGTGTTCCGGTATATCACCAATGATAAATTTCATTTATTATTTCTGTAATCTTGTCTATGCCGAAATCATCTAAGGCTGCTAGCATCTCTATTTCTACTCCGTCTGGCCCTACCGCTATTTTCTTGTTCAATTTGGCCAGTGCAGCTTCGATATTTCTGTGTTTTGCCGGTTGTTCTGTTTCGGCGTGGAATAAATATCCAATATATTCGTTCCAGAGCTGATGATTTTTTTCTTTCTCTAATATGAGGGTTCAATTTATTTCATGCAGCATGTTGGTCTTTTATCCCGTTAGTTGACTCTTTTATGCACATCTCCTTTATCTATGACACTCATTCTCTCTATTTCTACACATTTTTCGTTGAGCCATTCTTTTTTAGTCTGCCTGCATTTGTTCTTTATTTCATTGTGTAGTTTTCTGTATTCCGTTCCATGTATTGGCATCGTTTTCTGTCTCCTTTGCATCATGTTGGGGTAGTTGGTGTTAATCCACTGATTCAGATTTAGTGAACATATGTTCAGTACAATATGAACACGCAAAACTTCCTCCACTGCTAGGCTTCTAATGATTCATCTTGACTGAGTTTCAAGAACACCGGTGTTGGAATATATCCAGACCTGTTCGTTTACAAGTGTCTAGTTGACTCACCATCCCAGTGACGGTAATTACAGGAATTAAAGTATCTGATATATATATATATATATATATATATATATATATATATTAGTTAAGTATGTATATAATAAAACCTCTCATTTAGACAATGCATTGACATTTTATCGCTACTCTTTATGCCATTGAAATTTATGATCTAATGTAATAACTGCAATAAATCCAGTTTTTCCTATGTGCCATGCCACTTCAAAGATCATGGCTCTTCACAGCGTCCTGTCTATTTCAGATCTAAGTAGTATTTGTCCCCTTATTACCCTATTTCCTACTTTATCTCCCATTTACATAAATTCGTTAGAGAAGTTATAAATGGCTTCAATTTACTATCTTTGCTTTCCATATGAACTTCTTAAGGCGTCCAGAATTTTCAGTTGTCTCTTTCTGATTGTTAATATATATTAAACAAACCCAGATCTATCATTTCAATTTTCATCTTCGTCTGTGAGGAAATCTTCATGTATTGGCTGCCATATAGATGGACAGTTAGCATATAGCCGCTCATGACTATTCTTTTCGTTTCGAAGAAATATTCCTAGTTCTATGTGTTTTGTTTATCTTTTAGAAGGCATCTTTCGCTGTTTTAATCTCTCTTCGGATCTCTGTGTCATATTTCCATCGCCTGTTACGACACTACGCAGATAACTGAAATAACATACCCGCTGGATTTTGATATATCCAATTCATAACTCGAACCTTATGTTATCTTCTTTGTCGACGTTTACACATTCTGTTATGATAGGTATTCTCTCTGACAGATGTAGTCTCGTCAAGGGAAGGTAACTGTCTTGTAGGTATAGCGATACCGCCTTTTATACAGTACCTTATTTACATATCACTACACAATCTTTCTTCTATTAGTTAATATTCCTTTCTCTTGGCTTTCCTTTACTACCTTGACTTGAACTTTTTCAACCCGCTTCCGAGTCGGACTTCAACATATTTTCATCTGCGTATGTCATGTTGTTAAGATTTTGTCTGTCGATAATAAGCCCTGGCGTTTTTCTAGTCTTGCTAGGATCGTCACGCTTTAAATAACTCAGGTGAGATACTAATTACATCAGAAAGAGACAGGGAATGTAATGTGGAAAGAAGGCTTGGAAAATTTGATACAAACAGGACAGATTAAAAGCAAGCCGGAGGAAGGAAAACAACGCTTAATCTACATAGTGAGGTTATATTAATGGGTAGTTAAAGTACAAGAAATTCTGGAGAACCATGGCCGCCAACGTCCTGAAGGGACACGGCATATAGAAGAACAAGAGGAAGAAGAAGAGATAGCAAATATTAAAAATGGAAAATAAATCCGTCGTGAAAAAGATTCCGGATTTTTTTAGTTTATTATACACATAAATAGATATGTGTGTGGGGGTGCATACAGGGATATGTGTTTCAAATAAGCGTAAATACAGGGATATTTGTTTCAAATAGGCGTAGGTACGTCCGTCTGTATCATACATGATTAATTACTGTCTAAATATACACACTGACATAGTAAATTGGTTTCATGAGTTGAAAGGAGCAGGGTGGTGGGCCACAGGGTCGGAAACTGAGTACCAAAGATAGAAAAGGCTTTTTGAAGAAACGGGTTCTGATTCTTTGAATGCTGTACCGGGTTTCAGTGGGATAAGGGGAGGGAGGGGAGAAATGGATGGAATCGGTTTGTTTCGTGGGGGATGGGGTAGAAATGAATGTAATTTTGGGAAGAGAAAGGAAGTGATACCGACAGGCAAGAAGATGAACAGAATGGAAGGAAAAAGAAGATAAAAAAGAAGAAGAAAAAGAAGAAGAAGAAAAAGAAGAAAAAGAAGAAGAAGAAAAAGAAGAAGAAAAAGAAGAAAACGAACAAGAAAAAGTAACAGATGAAGAAGAAAAGAAAGGAGATAAGAAAAAAGAAGAACAACATCAACAAGGAAAAGAATAAAGAACAAGAAAAAGAAAAGGAAGAAAAAAAGAAAAAGAAGAAAAAGATTTCTCGAACGAAGATGGACAGGAAAGGAAACTAAGAAAATTGATGAAATATCGCAAGAAATATAACAAAAATAACATTATTTTTTCGTTTTTCGTACAATCGCTTGGATATAAAAACTTTCGCCGAAATACCAACTACGCATATATATATATATATATATATATATATATATATATATATATATATATATATATATATATATGAAGAGAGAGAGACGAGAGAGAAAGGATGAGAGATTTAATACATTTGCTTTTAAATACGCGTCATATATATATATATATATATATATATATATATATATATATATACATTTATATAAATATATATATATATATATATATATATATATATATATTTAGGCATATTTATATATATATATATATATATATTATGCGTATTTAGACAGCAAAATGTATATATATATATATATATATATATATATATATGACGAGTATTTAGAAAGCAAAGGTATTAAATCTCTCTCATCCTTTTCTCTCTCGCCGTTCTCTCTCTCTCTCCATATATATATATATATATATATATATATATATATATATATATATGCGTATTTAGGCAGCAAATATAAATATATATATATATATATATATATATATATATATATATATATATTATCCATATTTCGACAGCAAATGTATTTAAACACAAGAGACAATTCTGATGCTTTGATCTAATTCCCTTTCCTTTCTTTATTCTTTCCTGAATCACCTCTCTTTACTCTTGCTCCCACTCTCTGTAAACCCCTGCATGATAGTGGCACTTCCGCTTTGCTTGGGATGAAATGCTAAAAAAAAACAATTTTAGGCGAGAGATATATTAAAAAAGTGGTAAATGTCTTTTTATGTGATTCGTAGGACTTCATTGGACTAAGTTTGTTTACGTTGATGCGACTACAAGACGACGGGATTTTTAAATTTAAAAATATTTGTTATATATGTCTGTTTTGGCTATATAATCTCATCGAATTCATTTAATTTCTTTACCTTTGCTTTCCGTCACTTTTGTCATTAGATATCCCACACTGTGGTAATAGGAAATCTGTTAAGAATGAATCATTGTAAGAACAAGAACGAAAATTTACTGTAGATGATCTCCAGATTAAATCACCTTCATCTGAGTAAATTATCTACTATTTTAGAGTAGCCGTTTTGTAATAAAATTGTTCTTAGTCTCGTTACGGTAAGCAACTAACACTAAAATATACTTTTGTGTTCCTACCTTTAAATTCCTTGACATTTTTTTCAATGTATTCCATAATAGATTGAATTCCTTCTTCAAGTTTTAGATTATTCCTTTGTTTTTTATTGCTTAAGTCTCAAATTGGTTTAGGCTTAGTGACAAATTTTATGCTGAGTTTAGATAAATTCTTTTCAATTGTAGTTGTAATAGAGTTGGTTGGTAGAACAATATTTTTTCTGATTCGTTGGGCTTGTCAGAAAGGACCGCTTTTCTATTTTGGAACCTTTTACGAGCCTTTCGTTTCGTATTGAGTATGAAATAGGGAATTTAAGGAGCTTGAAAGTATTTTCAATATATTTTCAACTTCTTCATGTAAATATTGAGGGCTGCAAATTGTGAATGTTCTCAAGTAGAATCCGATGATTACTCCGGATTTTATTTTGTTGTTATGATGGGAATAGAAATTTATGAGATCATTTTTACTATTTGGTTTCGGAGGTCACTTAATCTTCAATCTACTGTCAACGCAGTTTAGGATGATATCTAGAAACGTAAAGTATGTTCGGCTTTAGTTTGTCTACAAGATCACGTACATCTGCATGACGGGGATATATTAATAGAGTATCATCAATGTATCGGAAGGATGTCATTTCGACGCGTTGTAATATATATATATATATATATATATACACTCTCACTAAATTTTATTTTTTTTATTCCCGAAGTTATTTTTTCTGTTTTCTTTTTTAAATTGTAGGTCTGATGAATTGGATCGTATTTACGATTCCAATGTAATAAATTATAACCATGGAATATTAGTGTTTAAGCCTTTTTATTATATCCTTACTCTGTCCTGGATATTGAGTTCTACCTGGGTTCTATCTCTTGGAAACTTTTTATATATATATATATATATATATATATATATATATATATATATATATATATGTGTGTGTGTGTGTGTGTGTGTGTGTGTGTGTGTGTGTGTGTGTGTATATATATATATATATATATATATATATATATATATATATATATGTATGTATGAAAAATCTCTCAGAGTTAACCTGCAGAAAAAGACACTATTTATAAAGGTAAAAGACAGTAGGAAAACTGTATTATTAGCCGACGCGTTTCGTCCATTGTGAATTTTTTCAAAGCAAAAACTAAATGAATTTGTTAAACAAAGTAACTAATAATAACAAAACAAAATCCGTTGAATCCGTCAACACAATAAAAAAATAACTCACTCAGAAGAAAAATCCTAGAGAGTGACGCCATTGAATATTACCACAAAATTAATCTACGTCCAGGCTTTGTTCTTATTTCACTTTTCTTAACAGAATTACTACTCTCCCAAACAAACGTACAGGACAGTGTGAAGAAATCGAAAGAAAATGGTTGAATCCGTCAACACAACAATAATAACAATATCTCCCCACGTGACAGTAATTGACGTAATTTTCAGTTAACAGCATGAAAATAGCGTTCTCTAAATTCTTCCATTACTAAGGAAATTTTGTTTCGATATTATTAGTTACTTTGTTTAAATTCATTTTGTTTATTGTTTTCATGTTTAAGTATAGTTGTGTTTTCAACGAGGATTTTCGTCTTTCAACGATAATTTTATTAAGCTTATCAGACAATAGGAAAGGAACTTACTTAAAATAAATAGACAAAACTTGTATATATTATTTAATGAAACATGCATCAATGAAAAATTGCTGCCTAAATATACACAATTTGTATATATATATATATATATATATATATAACAGGATTGTATGCGGATGATATATATATATATAGTCATCCGCATACAATCCTGTTTCGCTATATCACAGCTCATCTGTGTGGCTAAACATCCGATTGCTTCAACACGGGATCAAAACTCCACCGATTTGGCATCAATCAGAGATCCTGCCGCTAAGCTATCGGAGAGAAAAAGAAATTTTAACGTATTATATACGAGATGTGTACAAATGGCTGTAGCCTAGGGGGCTAAATTCTTAATTAAAGGGCGATGCGTTTATAGCAGCAGCAGCCACTATTTTTAAAATTACCTGTGTACATATAAATTTTGAAAGTTTATAATAGAAAATATTCATGTCTACCTCCTTAGAAGTTTTCCTTCAAACCGACTTGTTTCTATTTACTCCAGGTAAAAAGAAGAACATTTTAAGTAGACACTTCGCCAGAAACGCAAATCCTATGATTTAACTTTAATTTAATAAAGAAAAAACCTTTTACCTTATTTTTAAGTTCATTGAATTTAATATTTTCGAACAAAATATTTTACTCTATTACAAAACTAATTTAAATTGACTGGAAGGATGTTTTGTTTTGAAATCTCTAAAAATCACTGATTCCAATGCCATTTTAGCCATTATATTTTATCATTTTTTTAATGTCTCGAAAATAAAATATACTTTTTTGAAACTTTATTTGATGAATATTAGCTGACATAAAGTATAATTAATCTGATTTGAAACAAATATAACATACTTTAATTTAAATATATCACAGAAATGCATTTTAACACAGCGGTAAGTGTTTATTTAAGATGTTGACAGCTTGAATAATAGATGGAAGTTTAGCCATTTTTTCTGGGGTGGACATATCTGCTATTTGAAGAATTTAACGTGAGCGCCATTTTATATAATTTTCAGCTATCAAGTAATCTTTAAGATTTAGGAAAATATTCTCCATAATCTAATGTTTATTAAATTTTAGATACATTGGCTTTAAATTTATTATATTTATCCCTCTTCCTTTCTCATAATATCATGAGCAGACGTTTGTATTTAAAAAAGTCAGCAATTTTATACAAGCAAAAAAAAAAAATCAAAATTATATTTGAAATACTGGGGATTGCTGAATTGTAATAAGCTTTATCAATTCTGATTAGTAAATACGTTTTTCTTTAATAGCAATATCATTTAAAACTTTATAAATTATTTTAATTAAAAATTTTAAAAAATGAAAACAATTCTTGTAAAAATTCATTATTCATCGAATTTTGTTCTTAATACAACAGTGTCCATAATATACCTTCTTTGTAAAAGCAATTAAGATTTTCTAATTAAATAATTCTTTTAGATTTATTACGCTTTTTTTTACGATTCACATTATAATTCTCCAAGAATTTACGACTATAACTAATAAAAATAATTAAAGAAGACAGAAATTAATTCTTCGATATTTCGTAAAATTAAATAGGAGGCGGTTAACAGATATAAAAAAAATGTTTTTGCCAAGATGTTCTAAAAAACAAATATTTCAGAAGATAATTTAATTTATTTTTGAATAGGCCCTGCAAGTTTTCTTAAAATCCGACAGTTATTTGCTTTTTGCAAGAATTTCACAATCAACGTGTTTCTCACCACGAACAAAAAAAAACGGTATAATTTCCGAAATAGTAATTAATCCAGACGCTGACGCAAGAAAAACAAGAATTTTAAACAACATTTAGAATGTTCTAAAAAGGATAAAAAAATAAAATGTAATAATGAAAAGATCCTTTCGTCTTTCCCCTTAATAATAACGTACATATTTTCCTTCTAAAACAATCCTTTTATTAATTTAGGGTCATTTTTCATGATGATATGTTTCTTTTTATCGAATCAATGGAGGAACTTAGAAGATGTGCTATATTTATGGGTAAAAAACCGTTCAATAACAGGGACAGTTATAACACACACACACACAACACATATATATATATATATATATATATATATATATATATATGTGTGTGTGTGTGTGTGTGTGTATGTATATTTAACTAAAAACAGACCACTTTAAGGTTCCATGTAATAAATTATTTCACCACA